GTGGGGGCTGTTCGGGCACTGTAGGATGTTCGGCTGTTTCCCTGGCTTCCGCTACCCTTCAGATGCCATTATCACTCCACCCCCAGTTGTAATAACCCATGTCTCCAGACACCGCAAATGTCTCCCGGGAGACAAAAATCACCCCCAGTTGAGAACCAGCAGGGTAAAAGATCTCATCCAGTCTCGAGGCTTTAAATACCATCTATGTCTATAGTGATGACTTTCAAATTTATATCTGCAGCCTGAACCTCTTCCCTGAGCTCCACTCATAAATCCATCTGCCTGATGGCTATCTCCACTTGAACGTCTAATAGGCATCTCAAAGTCAACTTTTCCAGCACAGAGCTCCTGATCTACGGCACCCCATCACACCTTCCCCTCTGCAGTCTGCTTCTTTCCAGTAAATGACAACTCCATCCGTCCAGCTGCTCAAGCACAACACCTTGGAGCCATCCCCACCTTCTCTCTACTTCCCCTCTCGCGTATTGCACAGCGGGTCCATCAGCAAATGCAGTCAGCTCGACCTTCACAATAAACCCAGAGGCTAACCACTTTTCACCACCTCCTCCACTTCCTCCTGCTGCCAGCCTCCACATCTCGCAGCCGCCCCGTTACAGCAGCCTCCTCACTGGTCTGCCCTTCTTGGCCCCTCGCTCTCCTAGAATCTATTCTTTGCAAAAGGGCCAGAGTCATCCTTTTAAACAAAGTAGGTGATGTCACCCTGCTTCCCACCACCCACCCCCACCTCAAGCAATTTCTCCAGCTTCCTGCGTGGCTGAGTCCTTCTCAGTCCTCAGTCCTCAGTCCTCAACTCCCTCAGGGCTTGCTCAAAAGTCACCTTCTCAATCAAATGGTCCCTGAGGCTTTTTAAAACAATTCCCCTATCCCCACACCCAGTCTGCACCCCCACCCCAGCCCACCCTGCTTTACTCTTCGCAGCACTTATCATCATCTGACAAACTATATATCTCACTTGTTTTACTGTCTGCTCCCGCCACCATGTGAGATCCATGTAGAGTTCCTGCAGGGCAGGAGGAACTCACATGGCCTTGGTCTGTCATGATCACAGTCCTATATCCCTATATTAGTGCCTGACATATAACAGGCACTCAATAAACATTTGTTGAATAAACCTTAACACCAGCCCTGTGTGATGAAGACTTGTATTCTTCTCATTCTGTAAAACAAGGGGACAAAAGCTCCAGGAGGTTAAGTAACCTGACCCAGATCCCTCATCTAGAAAGTAATTCCCACTGAACACTCCAACCCACCACCCAGGGTCTCTTCAAATGTGACATGCAACTGGATTTTAGATGGCTCCCCCAATCAGCTTTTAAAAACACTTAAGAATATAGACTGGCAAAAAATAAAAATAAAAACCTTGCATCTTAACCAAAAATTAACTCAAAATGGATCACCGGACTCGATGTAAAATGTAAAACTATAACACTTTTAGAAAAAAAGGAAAAAAAAAAAGGAGAAAATCTTTGAGATCTAAGGCTAGGCAAGGAGGTCTTAAACTTGACATCAAAAGCACAACTCATAAAAGGAAATGTCGACAAACTGGCCATCATCAAAATTAAAAATGGTTGCTCTGTAAAAGCCCAGGTGACGAGTATGAAAAGATGAACTAAAGCAAGAAGAAAATATTTATACACTGCATACCCAACAAAGGACTAGTACCTAGAATGTGTAAAGAACTCAAAACTCAGAAGGAAAGAATGAATAATCCAATAAGAAAATGGGCAAAGACATGAACAGTTCACCAAAGAGGATGACAGATGGCAAATGGCACATGGACAGATGTTCAACATTAGGCATTAAGGAAATGCAAATTAAAACCAAGATGGGATATCATGACACACCTCTCAGAATGGTTAAAAAAAAAATAAAGACAATTCCAAATGCGAACAAGGATGCAGAAAACTGGATCATTCATACATTGCTGGTGAGTACGTAAAACAATACAGCCATTCTGGCAGTTTCTGATAGAACTAAATACACAATTACCATGCAACTCATCAGTCGCACCCTTGGGCATTTATCCCAGAAAAATGAAAACTCATGTTTGTGCAAAAATCTGAAAGCAAATGTTCACAGTAGCTTTACCTGTAATAGCCCAAAACAGGAGCCATCCAGATGCCCCTCTTTTTTTTTTTTTTAAGATTTTTTTTTTTTTATTTATTTGACAGACAGATCACAAGTAGGCAGAGAGGCAGGCAGAGAGAGAGAGGAGGAGGCAGGCTCCCCGCTGAGCAGAGAGCCCGACGTGGGACTCGATCCCAGGACCCTGAGATCATGACCCAAGCCGAAGGCAGAGGCTTTAACCACTGAGCCACCCAGGCGCCCCCAGATGCCCCTCTTTTAACAGTTTAAACAAACTGCAGTATTTCCACACCATGGAATACTACTCAGCAATAAAAAGGAACAAATGACTGATGTACATAACAACTTGAATGAGTCCCCAGGGAATGATGCTGACCAAAATAACCAATCTTAGTGCCAAGACAGTTCAATGAGAGAAGAATACTGTTTCCAACAAATGGTGCTGGGACAACTGGAAATCCACATGCAAAAAGAATGAAGTTGATCCCCTAACTCACACCATATGCAAAAACTAACTCAAAACGGATCAAGGGCTTAAATGTAAAATTTAAAACTATGAAAGTCTTAGAAAAAAAAGGGTAAATCTTTTGTGACTTTGGATTGGGCCATGGTTCCTTAATATGACATCAAAATCACAAACAGCAAAAGAAAAACAGACAAATTGGACTTCCTCAAAATGAAAAACTGTTGTGCTACAAAGGGACACTGTTTAGAAAATTAAAAGACAACCCACAGAATCAAAGAAAATGTTTGTGAATATATTTGATAAGGATCTAGTATCCAGAATATATAAAGAACTCTTACAATTCAATAATACAAAGACAAATATCCCAACTTAAAAATGGGTAAAAAAAATCTGAGTAGACATTTCTACACAGAAGACATCCAAATGGTCAATGAGCACATGAAAAATTGCTCAATATCATTAAGCATCAGTGAAATGCAAGTCAAAACCCCACTGAGATACCATTTCACACCCACTCCGAGGGTTATAATCAAAAGACAGATAATAACCATTGTTGGTGAGAATGTAGAGAAATCAGAACCTTCAAACACTGCTGATGGGAATGTAAAAAAATGGTACAGCTGAATACAATATGCTATTGTCCAGCAGTAAAAAAGGATATAGGAGAAAACATGCCACAACATGGATAAACCTTGAAAATATGAGTGACGTGAAAGAAGTTGGTCATCAAGACTATGTCTCGTATGACTCCATTTACACAAAATGTTTAGAAAAAGGCAATTCTATAGAAATGGAAAATAGATTAATGGTTGCCTAGGGCTGGAGGTGGTAGAAAGAAATGTGGAGGGTGCTAAAGAGTACAAGCTTTCCTTCTGGGGTGATGAAAATGTTCTAAAATGGATTGTGGTGACGGATATACAACTCTGAATATTCCGTAAATCACTGAATTACACACCCTAAGGAGTGAATTTATGAGATGTGAATTATATCTCAATAAACCTGTTACCAAAATTTTAAAAACCAATTTCAAAAGCGTATATACTCTATGATGTCATATTTATATAACATTTTTGAAATGGCAAATATTAGAAATGACGGGCAGATTAATGGTTACCAGGAGCTGAGGTGGGAAGAAGGGAGGGAGATGAAAATAGATATAAGAAGCCACACAAAGGCTTGACTAAATGGTATCTTGACTATGGCAATAAACACACAAACCTATACATGTGATAAACTGTATAGCACTAAATACACACGCGCACATACACAAATGGGGACAAGTCAAATCGGAGAACTCTGACGAAGATCTGCAGATTATATAAATGTCAATACCTTGGCTATGATATTACACTACAGGTTTGCGAAATGTTACCATTGTGGGAAACAGTGTAAAGTGTGTGGGGAATCTCTATATCTTCTCCCCTTTTTTTTTTTTTAGGCACTCTCTATACCCAGCTTGCAGCTCGAGTTCACCGCCCGGAAATCACAAGTCACATGCTCTACCAACTGAGACAGCCAGGCCCCCTGCAGTTTTTCTTACAATTGCATGTGAATTTATAATTATCTCAATAAAGATTCCAATTAAGGAACTACATTGAGATCTGTTCTGTTCGAGTCTCAATTTCTCTTCAAATTAAACAAGAGTGTCCTTTGATATAGAAGTGCCGTAGCTCCTAACAGCTGCTTGTACCCTTTTGGACAAAGAAGAGCAGACCTGAGGCTCAAAAGACCCCACAAGAGAATCCAGTTGAAATTTAATAATACACTTTTATTTTATGGTATATAGTCATTTATTAGATGTTATAATGCAGAATTAAGAACACAAATTCTAGGGCGCCTGGGTGGCTCAGTGGGTTAAGCCTCTGCCTTCAGCTCAGGTCCTGATCTCAGGATCCTGGGATCAAGCCCCACATTGGGCTCTCAGCGGGGAGCCTGCTTCCTCCTCTCTGTCTTTCTGCCTGCCTCTCTGCCTACTTGTGATCTCTGTCAAATAAATAAATAAAATCTAAAAAAAAAAAAAACCCACAAATTCTGGACCCAGCCAGTCAAGGATTCTAATGCCAACTCTGTCACTGACTAGTTATCTCACCTTGTGCCAGTCACTTAACATCTCTGTACCTCAGGCATCTCATCCATAGAATGGATATGACAAGAGTAGGTAGATCATAGCATTGTGAGTTTTCAATGTCTGTGTGGGTGCCTATGTGTTTACACATATATGTGTGAGTGTCTGGCACAAAGTATTAGCTATCATTACTACCTTTACCACAACAAGGACTGGGGGGATATCATGACATTTTATAATGTTTCAGAGGCTCCAGTGCGGGCCATATTACCTCTTCTAATGAGTCCCCTTGGCCCATCCCCCGTTAGCCCTGACCCCATACCCAGGTGTCCCAACGACGGTGTTGGGCCAGGAGGCACCCACCTGCACACTTGGTGCGGCTGATGAGGGGCGGGCCAGGGCGGCCAGTACCGCCGTCACCCGGGCGCGTGAGCAGCACGCTGATCTCATACTCGGTGTCCGGGTCAAGGTGCCACAGCTTGTAGGTCTGCAAGCTGACGGCGTGCACCTCGGCCCACGGACCGCGCGACATGCGGTACTCAATCTCCTTGCGCACAATCGGCCCGTCGCCAATGATGGAGTTGGTGTTGAGTTGGATGATGAGGTAGGTGGGCCCGGCGCGCAGCAGCTGGGGGGGCGCGATGGGGGTGGGGGGCTCTGCGACGGCGTGAGGGAGAGGCGGAACCAAAAAGACGAGCTGTGAGACCCTGCCCCCAACTCTGCATGGCAACACATCCAAATCTCCAGTAGCCCTCTCTGTCCTCCCAGGACCCTGATGAAGCCCCCAGACCCTCAACCAGCCCTTCTTGCCTACCTCCACTAAATACCCAGGCATTAAGGGGCACCCACTCCAAAGGTTGATCCCACATTCACCCCTAAGCCCTGTCCCTCATTCCCCTCTGAATCCCCAAGTTCTAGCGTTCAGGGGCTGAACGCAGGCGGGTCGGGTCAACCCCAGGTCCCCTCAGCCAGACCCCGCCTAACGGGGCTCACAGCTTAACAGGATCTCCCCGCCCACCTGCCTCTCAGTCACACCCCTCCCCTCGATCAGACCTCCTTCCAGCAGAGAAACTGTCCCTTCCGCAGGCCCCGCCCCCGGTCACACCCTGCGGGTCACACCTTTCTGCAGGCCACACCCCCTCGACCCCGCCCCTCGGAGGTGGCATCCCCAGCACCCACCCCACCACTACACGAGTGTAAGCCGGCTGACCCTTGACGATGAGCTCCGCGAAGTTGGAGACGCCCGCACCTCGCGGGGCCTGGGACACGCAACGATACAGGTCCTGCTCCGAGCGGCTCACGGAGGCCAACAGGAAGGTAGCCAGGAAACGCCGGTGGCTGATGTGCCGCACGCCGGCGGCGGGCACAAGCACCCCGCTCTGCCGCTGCACAAGGGTAAGGTGGACAGGGTCAGGAGCGCTGGAGAGGGAGGGTGGTGATCTCTCTATAGCCTGGATGAGGGGAGCAGTCCCTAGTACTCAGGGGACGCATGGGGTTCCTGAACTAGCTCCGCCCCTGGAAGGTGCTGGATAAGAAGCTGATTAAGGGGGACGCCTGGGTGGCTCAGTTGGTTGGACGACTGCCTTCGGCTCAGGTCATGATCCCCGAGTCCCAGGATCGAGTCCGAGGATCGAGTCCCGCATCAGGCTCCCAGCTCCACGGGGAGTCTGCTTCTCCCTCTGACTTTCTCCTCGCTCATGCTCTCTCTCACTGCCTTTCGCTCAATAAATAAATAAAAATCTTTAAAAAAAAAAAAAAGAGAAAAAGAAGAAGAAGCTGATTAAGGGAATGCAGTCTCTGCCTCTGATGGAGAGAGGTCTGGGATCCTGGAGCCACTCTCTGTCATGGGAGTATAAGAGCCCCCAAGAGGGCAGAGCAGAGCCTAGGTGAGGGCAGGGAGGTATGAGTACAGGTGCTGGAAAATGTAGGAACGACTCAGCACCCCCCCCAAAGGAACCCAAGTCCCAGAAGAAGTCTCCCACACCCCAATAAGGTCCCTGCGCCCCTCACCTGCAGGAGAAAGTGCTCAGCCTCTGCGGCTCGGCCTGCTGCCATGCACTGGAAGGAGGCGTTCTGGCCAGCGTTGACCTCCACATCGCCCAGGCGGGAGAAGTGCGGGGCCTTCGCTGCGGGAATAGAGCCTCTGTGTGAGCCGGACCTGTGCCCCCCACAGGCGGGAGCCATGGCCACCACACCCCTCACCCTGCACCCCCGTGGGCTGGGACTCACCGCAGGGGTAGCTGAGAAGCAGGACGTCATCTAGGCCCATGTAGCCCCTGCGGTCTGGGGAGATGAGGGCCTCAAACAGCACCTGGGGGAGGCGGGAGGGTCCCTGTCATATCCCTCCAGCCCTACCTGGGGAGGTGCCCACAAGGGACCCCTTTAGCTCTGCTCCAGTCCAGGCTCCTCAACCAGCAGAGGTCAACTCAACTCACAATGACCTTCCCTACCAAGTCTGCTAGTTGTGGGAGGGGAGAGTCAGCAGCCAGAGCTAACAAGGTCAAGGCCAGAGGTTCCATCCCAGTTCTGGTCGGTTACCTTCAAGAAGGAAAAATTTTCCCAGCCAGGCAGGGTTTCCAGGTCAGCACTGTTCCAACTCACCCTTGACTCCAGCCACTGACTATGTCCTTTGACAGTGATCTCTGATGCTAAATCTGGACCACAGCAGCAAAGAATAACCCAATGCTGACCACAGACTGACCCCTGACCTTGACCACATATTGACTCCTGATGCTGAACACAGACTAATTTCAACCTTGGTCACTAGCTTACTCTGACCTCAGGCTGACACCGCTCTACCCCCACCCCTAAGCACAGGCTGACCACAGACCAAACCCAGCCTACCTGATACTCATTGGGCCAGAAGGTGCTGACAGCCAGCTCCGCCTGGTGCCACTGACGGCCATGTGATCCTGTCATGTTCCAGACGGCACTGCCCAGTGGACCCCCATTGACACGCACATAGATGCCCAAGGTGCCCGGGCTGTGCCCATCCCGGCTGTACAGGAAGTAGCTGAACTGCACGCAGTGGGTGTCATTCTCGCTCAGGCTCTGGAAGATGACATGGGCCCTCTGGCCTGGAGCATGCTGGGAAGCATTGACCATCAAGTAGGAGCCTAGAAAGAGAAGAGGAAGAGGCAGGAGCTAAGGAGGCTTGGGGAGGACCAAGGTCAGGTGAGTAGAGGGGGTCAGAAACAAAGGACTCCAGACATTTGGACTCACTGGGAGTCAAGGGTTCTGAGTTCTGGTTCCAGCTCTGACTCACTAGGTTGAGTCTCTTCACCTCCCTGCATCTGTTCCCCGGAGGAGAGAATTGGAGAAGCAAAAAACACACAAAAGTGACTCTCTCAAAACCCTTTATGGCCCCTCACCACCTACAATCACAGTCCAAGCTCAGGCTGACCCATGACTTTCCCCATGTGCTGAGCTGCCCTGGGAGGCGGAAACTAACTAGGTCATTCATCTTGGAGTCAAGAGTCTGGCACATGACAGGCCCTCGAAAGCTCCCCTTTCTGAAGCCCTCCCTCCCTATCCCTCTACAGGCTTCTCTCCTGGCCCTTGGATCATTAATAAAGTGTAGGTCTGTCTCCCCAGCAGCCTGTGATGCCTCCAGGTCTCCACTGGGTCCCCAGCACAGGTCTGAACCCAAACTGAATGAGCGTGTAGAACAGAGACTGAATGAAAGGACTCTAACTTCCCTTCCAGCCCCCACCCTGGGTCTAAATGCCTGGGATACAATTCTTTTGATTTGCAACGTGGAGAAAGGCAGAACTCTCCTTCCCCAGATCCAGATCCGGGCTGTGCATGGGCAGAGGAGTGGAGGGGGCCTGGCAGGATGAGAGTGGGCTGGACTCCTCAGGACCTGGCTGGAGGATTGTGGCTTCTCTTTTGTGGGGAGAAGGGCCCAGCAGCTGTCAAGAGGACGCCCACAGCCCCCCAGCGCTGCCTCCTCCCGGGCTTGGCTACCAGCCAACACAAGCTCATTCAGATCCCAAACCACGAGGCTCCCTGCTCTGGGAGGACTCCCCAGGGACTCCACTAGAGGGGATCTCGTTCATTTCTGTGAGCCAGAGGCCTGTGAAGGCAGCTCCTGGATCAGTCCTGGTGGGGTAGTAAACAGAACCCCCAAATCCCCATCCCCACCCAGAAAGCGGTACATCCTGGCCCCCAACAGTGGGGCCTGTCCCACTCCTCCATCCTCCTCTCTCCTCTCCCTGTGAGCAGCTGCGTGTGTCTCTCCCCCTTTCAGTCTGACACTTTGTTCTTGCCTCTTCCTCTGGCTTCCTCTGCCCCTCTCTCTCCTCTCTTTTCCTCATTTCACTCTGCGTCCCTCTTCTTCTCTTTCATTTCCTCCCTTCATTCAGGTGGCTCTTCCTTCTCCCTCCATCCCCAACTCCCTTCCCTAGAATATAAGTACCAAGAGAGCAGAGACTGTGGCCCTCTTGCCAACCACTGCAGCCCCACGATCCAGCACAAGGCCCGCAGTAAATACTAAATTTCTCTCTCCCCTAGCTCTGCAGGGGTGAGAGAGAGAGAGAGGCAGAGCCCACACCAAGGTCCCTGCCATGGTGGGCACCTTACAGATCAGTCACACAGGTCAGACTTGGATATCCGCTAGCACAGAGGTCAAACAAGGAGTTGAGGGCTGTTTGTGCAAAGGCAGAGAGAAGTGCCCCAGGGAGGGCACAAAGGCAAGAGGGGGAGATAGGGGCCTCCGGGAGGCAAGGTGAGAGGTAGGAGATGACCCTCAGGGCTGCCCGTGTCAGGCTGTGCAGGGCCTCTCTGGTGGCTTCAAGTCTTGGCCTCACCACTGAGAACTTTTGCTGACTCTTTCCAAACTCCTGACAGCAAGTGCAATTGCAACCATGCTGTGAGCTGAGTAGCAAAGGGCCTGACCCACTACTATGACAGAGCAAAGGTGAGGACATCCTGAAGTTTCTGCTTCTGGGGTTCCCTCAGCAAGCCCATTTATTCTCATATCATGCTATGTCTTCCAACCTAAGCGAATAAAGTTGATAATTTAGCCTCCGTCTGTCTTATCCTTTTCTGGATGCCCCATTGATACTGTATCCAGTGAAGGGGTGCTGGTAACTGGACCCCCTCAAATACCTCCAATAATAGCAACTAAACATTAATTGAATGCCTACATGCCACTCCCGTGTTATGCACCTTGTAGACATTATCTAATAACCCTGTGAAATGGATTACTGGGCTCTCCCTTTACAGTTAAGATAATGGAAGCTCAGAGAGGTTAAGTGATTTGCCCAAAGTCACACAGCTGATAAGGCCAGGATTTGAAGACCAGTCTTCATGACTCTGGAACCAGTATACTAGGGGCCATCATCAGAGTAGGACTACAGTCCACATAATTAGGCTCCTGACTCCCATCGCAGTGCTCATGATGCCGGAAGTGCCTCATCCTGAAACAGGGCAGAGCAAGGTAGAAATTGGGAAGGATCCGGGACTTCCAAGAAGAAGGGGGCAGAGGAAGGAAGGTTTTGCACACACCCAGCCCCCCGGGTTACAGCTCAATCAGCATCTTCACGTCCTGGGAGTCAAGGATGCAGAGGCTCTCAGGGAGAAGAGAGCCTCCCTGAAGGTCGGGGGCTTAGGAAGACCTGAAGGGAGTAGGGTGGACCCCGAGCTAACCTGTAGCGGGAATAGTGGGAAGTGGGTTTTAACTATCCTGGCTACAAGTGCCTTTGATTACTTGAACCCGCACCCATTTTACACGTAAAACTACCTGATACACACAACTGGACCGTGTCCACAGAGCCCCACATTCATAGTATCATGTTTGTCGTTACAGATGCAAAAGCAGATGAGACCCGGAGAGGTTAAGGAACATGTCCCAGGGCACATAGCAGGGAGCTAGAACTGGAAGGAGAGAAAGAGGAATGGTGGTGGAGAGGAGGCTCACCATGGGGCAGATCCGCTGGAGACCGGGTGCCAGGGTGGACGTGCACTTGCTCCCATTGGAAGTCATCATACTGGGCCTGGCTGTACTCACAGGGCACTGCTGGGTCACTCACTTCCTCGAAGGTGCAGCCGGCTGTGAAGGCAGAGCCTGGTTAGCCCTGGCTAGAGAAGGACCCCTGGCCAGGAAAGCTCCTAGGGCTCCCCTCTAAGCGCCCCAACAGCACCCTCCCACCCAGGCCCACCCCCCTTCCCTCCCTCTCCTGGGTTTTTCTCCAATGCTCCCTCCCTCCAACAAAACTCTCCCTCCTCCAACCCTTTCCCTCTTCTTATTGTCTCCACCAATATCAAGACCTCCCCACACCACCCACCCCCCAGGACTCGCCAGGACCCCACCTTGCTCAACCACCCACCAAAGACCCTCCCTCAGGAAAACTAGTTAACGTTATCACTACATCATTAGAGCTTCACAACTCAGGAGATTGATCAGGTCTGGAATTATCCCGATTTTACAGATGAGGAAAATAAGGCCTTAAGGGCACACAGCTCAGGACTGGCAGGCTGTGAGCCCACAAAGCCAGCCCTGATGATCTCTCCTTCACAGTAACAATGGCCACTGATCATTCTAAGCCCTCCATGGTGCTAGCTACCAGCTCTCGGCATGGCATCTCATTCAGGCCTCAGGTCCTGAGGCATGGACCTCTATGATTCCTGCCCCACAGGTGAGCTTCAGGGAGTCACTTATCACCCAATCACCCAAGTCAGGTCTCTGCTGCAGGCCTGGGACAGGAAAGGGCTGCACATATGACTAGAGAAGCAGTGTCCCGTGATTCGGATCCAGTATTTATAGTGGAAAGGAGAAGAGGAAGGAGGGAAGAAGGCGGGGTAGAATCAGATGTGAGTCCTCTGCCTGGTAATGAGGTCCATGTTTCTCAGCTCATCAGAGCCCTGAGTCAGGCACCTAGTAAACATCAGAATGCCGCTGGGGGGGAAGAAACTGCAAACTGGTTCCCATGCCCACCCCCCACCCAACCGTGGTGCTAGCGGGCCCGTTGTGTGCAGTCCAAGGCCTCAGGGACCTGGGAAAAGGCCTGGCCAAGTGGTGAGGAAGCAGAGACACGTCAGGCCAGGCCCTGTGCGAGGTATCTGCCAGCCACCCCATCTGACAGTCGATGTGATGGAGGCCCCGGGGAATGAAGAGCTCTGTGCACAGTATCCCAGGACAGGTACGTGAGCGGGCTGTGGCATCAGACAGACTTGGGATTGAATCTTGACTCTGCAATTTGCCAACCCTTGCGACCGTAGGCAAGTCACCTCCTGTTCCAAGCCTCAGTTTCCATCTTTGCACAAGGGGTTGTCGGGGATGCAAGTTGGGGGTGCGCCTATCACCAGGCCTAGCGCATGCAAGCTCTCAGGAAATGGCCCTTCACAGGGGCCCCTGGAGCCCACCAGAGCCACAGAATGGGACTCGAACCCGCATCAATCGGATAGCAGAGCCTGTGTTTCCTTCACTAGGAGAAGGAGTGCATCCAAGCTGCTTCCTGGGCTCAAGAAGAGGATGGAAGAGAAATAAAGAAGGAAGAGAAACTGGGGGCTGAGGGCCACATGCTGGGCAGGCCGCTGCACCGCAGCAGGGACTCCCCTTTGGGGGGCTCTGCTGTGTCACCTGCCTCAGGGACCTCTCTCGGTTGTCATGCCCATCACCTGAAGTAGCAGAGGGGGACACACTCAGCGGAGCCGGGCACGCAGGGGCTCGCCACGGTCAGGGGGGTCTCCCGTTCCTCTTCCTGCACCCCCTCAGAGTGTAAAACAATGAGATGTGGGCATGAGGCTAGCACCGAGTGGATGCGATGAAATAACAGAAGCCTCTCTCCAGAGCTGGAGCAGGATCTTGACTATGCTCTTTGCCTCTTTGTGCGAAAAGCCCAAGTCAGCAGCACGTGGGAGGGAGGTTTTAACCCAACCTGTGCCGGGAAGCCCTCAACTCTCCCTCCAGAAAATGACCCACAGCGCAGCACAGAGGGAGGCCATGGCCCACAGGGATGGTCAGGGAGGGCTTCCCGAAGGAGGGGACCGCTGACTTCCTTCAGCCTGAGCTGAGTCTGCAGTCTGCTCCAGCGGTTCTTGGCCAAGGCCTCCCTAAGGCAGAGGGATTGCTGGAAAGGGAAGCCCAGGATCTAGAGCCTGGGTGGGCCTCAGGCCCTTCCTACTCCTTTAAAAGGCAGGTTCAAGTACAAGGTAGCTGCCCAAGGATGTCTCATCCATGGCCATGGGACAAACCCAGGAGTGCCAGCTCTTTGGCTTCCCCCTGTCCAACCTCAGCCAGGACACATGAGCTATCAGGACTCCCAGACCGCCCCAGGTCAGCGGCCCCCAGACAGGGTGACTTCAGCCAGAGTGGCCCCCAGCTGACTATCCCTGGCCATGCGGCCCCAACAACATCCAGACCACCTGATTTCGACCAGAATGACCACCCGATTGCCTGACCAGCCTCAGACCAGCTGACCCTGGCCAGAGTGTTCCCTGACCCCTGCCAAATAATGACTCTTACAACTGATCTCAGCCAGCTTAACCTCCCTAGCTGACTTTCTCCCTCCACAGTGTCCCCTTAAGCAGAATGACTCCCCCTCCCTGGTCCATGTCTGTCCTCAGTCTTGTGCCACTGGGCCAGGCCCAATTCCAACCATAGCCCTTAGGGGATAATACCTCTGGGTTCAGGCTCATCGTGAGAGCCCCATCCCCACATTCTCCCCAGCTCACTCCGGGGTGGGAACCATCACGCCTCCTAGGTCCTGAGGAAAGCCCTATCTCCTCCAGTCTGGATGGCTCATGATCCACAGCCCCAAAACCAAGCCCCAGCTCCTGCTAGAGACCCAACTCCTGCTGGAGGCCACCAACCTGGGAGGAATGAGATCAGACTTTCGATTCAGAGCAAGAATGGTAGCAGGAAACCCCTCTGGCCTCCATCAACACAGACACAGGCCCCAGACACACGCACGCACACGCACGCACACGCATCACCACCACCATGAGATGGCTGCCACTGCCACCTATGCCTAGGAAACTCCATAGTAATTCGTAAGGTCGGTACTAGTATTATTCCTGTTTTACAGATGGAAAATGAGACATGGAGAGATGAGCCGGCTTGCCCAAGGCCACACTCTAAGTACCAGAAGCTGGGATTTAAGTCACCTATCTTTATTCAAGGAGATTAGGTCCAGACAGAATAAGGCCCCGGTATTCTGCTAGCCACATGTGTTAATTCCATTCCATTCACAGGAAATTCGTCCACTAGGAAGTACAAAGCAGTCCCAGGCTGACACTATTAGAGGCAAAAGGATGATTAAGATTCTGCCCTGCCCTCAGGGACTTCCCAGTCTGAGTGGGGGTGACGGAATAAGACAAAGCAGAGAAGGGTCGAGGCCACAAGGAGGGTTCAGGAGAAATACTTTCTGGAGGCGGGTGCATCTGAGTAGGGCCCGGAAGGATGGTTATCATTCTGGCCAGAAGAGATGGGCCGAAGGGTATCTGAGCAGAAGCAAAGGAGGGCAAGGAATAAACACACAGTTAGTCCAGAGCCTAGGGAAGAGCTCAGACTGACCCAAGCAATGGCAGAGAAGGCTAGAGAAAGGAAGGTCAAGGCCAGACCACGGAGGGAGTGCCTTCTGTGTCCAGGTGAGAAGTTTGGCCTCATTTAGAATTGGGAACCCTGAGCAGGTATTTGAGCAGGCTTCAGGTGAGACAGTGAGACAACCTCTATGCCAGGAAGAGGGCAGGTGTGTTCTCCAGAGGGCACAGGATCTGGAGGGAGCTCGGTGGGACAAGCCCCCATGCGGTCCACAGTAAGATGTCCGGGACTGCTGAGGAAAGGAAGCCTCAGGTCCCCATCCAAGATGCCAATGGCACACACTCTAGTCGCACCCAGAGGAAGCAACACACACACACACACACACACACACACACACACACACGCACGCCTGCAGCCCCACGCTCCCTTCCCCCAGCCTAGTCCAAGCCTCAGGGACACAGTCTCAGCCAGGCTAGGGCCAGGGAGAAAACCAGACTCGGCCACCGGTACCCCATCTCTGTCCCAGCCTCCCACGGAGGGTGGGCTGAATCAAGTCGGGACCCCCACCGGTTCCCCCAGCCCCAGCTCAAACTGGCCCAGCTACATTCCTCAGCTAATCTCCCCAATCTGGCAGGCGGTTGCTGAGGCAACCGTCAGCCACAATTTGGGAAGGCAGGAGGATGGCTTATCCACATCCGGCTGGGCTCTGATGGGGCGATGGAAGGGGCAAAGCAACCTCAGCGGGAAGAGTCAGAGTGTGGGAAAGGGGCCTTCCCCAGCTGTGGAAGGTCTCCACAGCTCCACGTGCACGTGTTTCCATATATCAACATGTGTGTGCGCGCGCGCGTGTGCGCGGCTGTGAGAGTGACAGCCTGGTATAGAATCTTGAGCACCCAGCTGGCAGGAAGGAGACCTGGATCTATTCCCCGCTGAGCCTCTAACTCCCTGTGTGACCAGCGGCAGGTGACCTGCCCTCTCGGAATTGCTGCTTCCTCACCTATGAAATGAGAATGGGGACCCAGGTGACCTCTAGGGCTACTTCCACGTCTAAGATTCTGGTTCCGTTCACGCAAGTATGCATGTGAGCAAGAATAATGTGAGGGCTGGGCGCCTGGGTGGCTCAGATGGTTAAGCATCTGTCTTCGGCTCAGGTCATGATCCCGGGGTCCTGGGATCAAGTCCTGACATCAGGTTCCCTGCTCAGCTGGAGTCTGCTTCTCACTTGCCTGCTGCTCCCCCTGCTTGTGCTCTCTCACTCTCTCTGTCAAATAAATAAGTAAAATAAAATCTTAAAAAGAAGAAGAAGAAGAAGAAGAAGAATGTGAGGGCAGAGAGAGACTATGGGGCAGAGCTTTGTGAGGGTGACCATGGGTCTCTGAGTATGGGTCCCCCAGGCACTGTGCTGTGAAGTTGGGGGTGTGCAGGCGTAGATCCCCATGCAGAGTATTTGGGCACACTCAGTGCTAAGCATGTGCCTACAGGGGAGGAGAGTATAAGCAGTGGGGGAGATGGGAGTTGTGTGTGTGTGTGTGTGTGTGTGTGTGCGTGTGTGTGTGTGTGTGTGTGTG